TGTGTGTGTGTGTGTGTGAGTGTGTGTGTTTGTGTGTGCCTGATTCTCATCGCTGACGTGTGAAATCATGCAGGGCCATCTGTCACAGATACTGTGCTGCAAAGAGAGGGATTTGCTTGAACAGATTACAGGAAAGCACAGGAATAATAAAAAGACTAAAGCTCGCAGAGCGGAAGACGCAGAGATCGGTTTCTCCTCGTAGCCTGGTGCCCTTTGACCCTTCGTCCAAACCAGGCACAGGCTGGTTGACGGTGTGAACCAGTTAAAGGGGACTATGGGACTAATCTTGGTGGAATCCTTTAACAGATCCTGGTTAAATGTCTTTGTTAAGAGGGTGAAGCTAAACCCAAACTGCATAAGACAATCACACAACTCTGGGATCGAGGGGTTTTCAGAAAAGCTCTCAGGGAAGACCCTATAAATTTAGTCATTTTTAAAGAAACTGCAGTGTGTTGAAAATATTCGGGATCTTCATGATTTGGTCCAGATGGGAGCAGAAACGTTCAAAAGTTAGATCAATCAAATAAAGATCCGGAGAAGCTGAGAGGGCTGATGTGGAGGATCAAATTCAACGGAGACACAGAGAGAATGTTTTCAAAGAGTAGCTGAGTTCTGAAGTTGACGCAATCTTTTCCCCCAGGCGATACTGACAGAATTCTCCTTCCTGATAGGCCGATGTTTCGTGGTAGCCATAGCAACAACCATCCGGCACAAACGTGTCAAAGTCAGAAATCTGGTCAGTGTGCGAGCTGAATACGTAAAGATCACAGATGAGATGCACACAGTCGGAGTGCAGGGGGGGTCGCGTATCGATGTCAGGTTTGGGATAACACCACCAAGTCTGTGTTCACAAGCGAGTCGTTGAAAGTTCAAGATGAAGCTTAAGGTGTGAAGATGAAGATACATTCAAAAAAGCAGCAGTAGCTGTTTTATATGTCAGCGTGAAACAGAAATAGGAAAAACCATGGAAACCGAAATCACTGAAATTCTATTGTATTATCGAAACTTAGATTTCTTAAATCACACATAGATTTCAAAATGGTCAGAAAACAAAACTAAACCCACAATTGACCTTATTTACTTATTTGTGTTAAAGAAATTGAATTTTCCGATATAAGATATTTGTTGTTTGTACTTCTGCATGTGTATGTGTTTATCAGTGTAACTTACAGAGACGTAGGCAGTGAGGCAGGTGATGAGCGAGGCGGTGATGGCATAGGGGATGGAGGTGTTGGGACTCTTGGCCTCTTCTCCTGTCGTAGCAATGATGTCAAATCCAATGAAGGCGTAGAAACACGTGGCTGCCCCTTGCATCACCTGACACACAGAGGAACCAGGAGGAATAATGGTTTACTATCCTTCCTCACATCACGTCATACTTTGACTTTGCGACTTTGTAATGCGTTGTGTTTGTCTGCGTTTGCGTACCCCAGACCAGCCAAAGGGCAGGAATCTGCCTTCGTCCCAGTTCTCTCCGTTGACAAAGAACAGCCCGGCGATCATCATGAACACCCACACAATGAGGTTGATGACGTTCAGCACGTTGTTGAAGCCCACAGAGTTCTTCACTCCCAAAGCCACAATCACCGTCACCAGCAACGCTATGAGCAGCGCCAGCAGGTCTGGGTACGACTGCTCCCCTTTACCTGGAGAGGACACACACAGACGAATGATGTCACTTTGGTTGAAGGTAAACATCAAACTGCTCATGGAAAAATAAACCCATAACCATTAGAATGTCCATAGGCCAGGGTTGGAATAAAAATGTATCTTGATTACTTGTTTCTTCTATTTTAAATTTAATAAAATGACAAATAATGGTCGTTAGAATCCCACAGAGTTCAAATCTTCACACTGATATTTTCTGACCAACACTCTAAAACCCTAAAATAACAGAGCAGCAAATCTTGAAATAAGAAAGGTTGACCAGCAAATATTTAGCATTTTTGCAGAATACTTGAATGAATTAATCAATTATTGGAACTGTGTCGAAGTTGTTTTCTGTCTGAAACTTTGGAAGCAGCAAGTTTAAGCTGTTTATTGTGTTACTTTTCTTTGGATTTCCGAGCTCAAGTTGGCTATTTATAGCTCCAACTTTAAAAAGTACTAGTACTGTCACCCAGCATGGTATCATAAGAGTGAGCACAGTTTATGTGGGGTGTGGAGTTGTTTTATTATTTCAAGCAGGAAGAGGAAACTTTCCATTATGTTGTGGAACAGCTGGCTTTGCTGCTCGTCATGTGACCATTACCACTCCTTTGTCCATTTCCGACAGGAAGAGACTGTCAGGACAGTGTATGAGCTGGAAAAATGTATTGCATGAATCGTTTAGAAATCCATGATGTCAATTCCCATAACAAGATGATTTCCAAGATAATCAGTGACGCATCACTTAGACTCTCCCTGGAGAAAAGACGGTGGCACTCAAAGAGAGTAGCCCACTGGAGAAGCAGTGGTTCTGTTGACAACGTAATTCAAGACCCAAAGTGAGATTTCTCCCAAAAATACTGAGCGACAGCAAAGATGTGGTTTATTTAATCTGCTCCTCTGGGCCAAGAGATCGCTGTCACTGTCATTCAACATTGGATTTAGCTCCTGTCTCCTTTTAAGGCCCTCCTCCTGATGAAGCCCAGTTTCCTCTGATTGGCCACTCTGTTGTGATTGGTCGACCGCCTCCACCCTCCCTTTACCTGGCTTTGTTAGGGGGCGTGTCAGACTAGCTGCTGGGCGTGCATTATGCAAATGTGAAACTATACAAAAGTGATATTTTGACATTACAGTGGTGCAGAAGAAGTATCGGACGACGTCTTTCAGGAGCTTTAGGAGCAGTTTTTTCTGCTTTTTACTTTTGCATTCACAAAAAAAAACACACTAGAGGAAGGGAAAATCCAAAAGGCATGTTTCCTTTTGACCGACTCTGTATCACTAACTCCTGTGGTGCATCCAAATCTTTATCTTTGTTTAATATTCATCCAAACCCTGAAGCCTGAACTTAAAATAACCCAAAATCAGAAGCAAACAAAAAAATAAATCTTGCTTTCTCGCAACAGTTACACAGCCACGCTCCACTCACCCAATCCATTGAGCGTCCCAATGTGTGAAATCATGAAGTTGCTGATGCTGTGGTTGGCCAGAGAGTCGGCCATGCTGCTGAGAGCTGACGCCCCCGCCGCCGTGCCGATCAGATACTCCAGAATCAGGTTCCAGCCGATGAAAAACGCCACGCACTCGCCCACTGTCACGTAGCTGTATGTGTAGGCCGAACCTGTGGTCTTAGGCACGCGCACGCCAAACTCTGCATAACACACTCCTGTGGGACAATGAGGTGGAGACACACACACACACATGCAGACACACACACGTATCAGTGACTTGACTGCATTATCTTCCAAGTGCAAGGCTGAGTTGAAGGTATTGATAGGAGCATTAATGTAGTTCTAAGATATCCCTTGAGTGCCTCTCATTTTATAGCTTTGCCTGTGCAATGTCTTTGACTTTATAATAATTGCATAGTTATTAAAAGGTCTTTCACATACATCACATCATTGTAATTGTGAAATGACAGTAACGTCTAAACTGCGGCATATAAAATGTCAGAAGTTAGAAGACGTCAGTACATGAATGCGTGTCCCACCTGACAGTATGGAGGCCACAGCGGCGATAATGAAAGACACAATGACCCCTGGACCGGCCATCTCCTTGGCGACCAGCCCCGAGACCACATACATCCCCGTCCCGACACAGCTGCCCACGCCCAGAGACACCAGGTCCACCGTGGACAGCACCCGGGCCAGTCTGGTTCCGTGGGAGCTGGTGCCTGACATGGCTGAATCCAACATGGACTCCACCGGCTTGGTCCTCAGCACGCGGGACGTAAAGGTGTTCCATGTCGAGCCCCACTGTATTCTGCGAGGGTCCAGCTTTCCCACCAGACTGCTCATACTGGGAGCTAAAGGTCACAGTCAATGGGAAGAACTGGAAAAGGAAGAGCAGGAAGATGCAGATTCTCTGATGCTCCTTATTTTGTTCCTTCACAGTTTTTCTTGAGCAAACAGCAAACAGAGCACAGAGGAAAAGTAATTATTCCCACTCCAGATGATGGAAGAAGTTTTCTGCTTCTTCTCTTTCCTGGCTCAGTCAAATACCATCTCAGTTCTTTTCCACATGGCGAGAGAGAGCGTTACCTGAAAGACAAAGGTGGGGGGGACTTATTTTTGAAGCATTTCACAGCACATTGCCTTCTGAGATAATGCGTATTTTCCACTGCACACACCAAGACACAGGAGCCGACCGGTGGGGAGGTGTTACACATTCTTCCGCAAATTAAGTGTACCTGAATGAGGAAGCAGCTAATTAGCAGTCCTCTCCCTGTGGCTGTGTTGCTATGGTAGCTGAGCTCAAGAGGGATGGCAGTGGACGCTAGATAATTTTCTCTGGTTTGTTGGAGAGTCATGTGTAATCATACGCACATAATAATTTCACTTCACGTCTTACAGTTTGTTTCTTTGAACAAAAATAACTAAACAGAGACATTATAATAACAGAATGTGTTATAGAGTAATACAAATATATATATATATAAATGAGATATAATATAATATTAACTATTTTTGTAATAAATTTAAAATTACTGATACAAACGTAACACAACATATTTTATGATGCATGATTACAAATTGGCTCCAGTTCCTCCTGCAACCCTCAAAGGTTTAGAGGTATATATAATGGATAGATGGGTGATTAGAAATTACCAAAACAGTCTATAATCACACTGTAGCAATACAAAAGACCATTAAAATGGCCTGAATATGAAAGTAAGCAATTAGTGAAACAATTTCAAGCAATTAGTTTTTTGCAAATGATAGAATATTTTAAATCTCCACAGTCTTCATACTTTTCCACAGCTTTTCAGTCACGTCTCTGATGTCACATGAGTGATAGTATAAAAAGCGACACTGTTGAGAAGAGAGACATGATAATCATCAGTTGCAGCCCGGTCCACCTCTCCGCTCTTCTCTCTCTCTCTTAGTGGCAGTGAACTAACACTCGGCAATCATCCACTTACAACAACATGTGCAAGTTACTGAACAAACATACACTCACATACGCAGCACTCGCATCCCCTCTCAGCTTTAATATGAGACACTCAAATAATGACTGCAATTACCCGGCTGGTTAACCAGAATATAGGCCAGGGCTGCTATGGTCGCTGCACTTACTTAGAGTGCGAGCAAGTAGTAGAAAAAGCTCAGAAGGTGATTTGATTTGCATGTGATGGTGAGAGATTGGTATAATCACATTATAATAAAATAATAAAAATCAGATTTAACAACAAATAGCAGAGCATTTTTTTGCTAGAGTCGACTTTGATTATTATTCCTATACAGGCAGAGGACTGTGATGTATTTACACATTACTGCTGTTTACTTTTCCAGACTAAGATTGAACCTAATTTATTATTTTATCATTTCAATGCAGAGCGAATGGTTTGGCAAATTCACAAGAGGAAAAAAAAATATTAGTACATTAAATTTCTAGATCAACTTGTGATAGCAGAGAATCTAAATTGAATTTGAATTGTGATATTGCTAACGTTACTGATATCAAGATAATCCTTTAACAAAATTTAAAATGACTTTTGTAACTAATGAAATAAACATGTGTTCAGTTAGCAGCATGGTAAACACGTTTAATGGCTTAAATTGGAGACATTAGTAACTATACATGAATCTAATCAGAATCCGCACAACACAGATGTTTTGAAACATTTCTATATCCTCTGGCCGGCTTCATTGACAGTGATCACCACCTGCCCTTTGTTGAGTGCACACTATTTGAACAGTGGTGGAGCAACAGAGCAGAGACACACAAAGCTCGGTTGCAGCAGGTGTTCCATCTGTTCTGAGCTGGAAAACTGACTTCAGTTTATTACCAGTACTTCTCAGGAAGAACGTTTGTCGGAGAGCCCTTAAACTTTCTGGAAACTGAGTTTATGTGAAACCAGTATGTGTTCACAACTTATATCAGTACAGTAACAAAAACATTTACAGCCCCATTACAGTCAAACTCAAATCAGAAAATTAAATATGTTGTATATAATGTACAAACAATATATGCAATAATAAAAAATTATAAGGCTGTATATATATATATATACAAACTCATAAACCTACGTACCCAAAATCAAATATAAACACATGTGCATTGTTACTTATAGCAAAAAGAGAGGAAGATAAACTAAGGAACAATAAATATTAAGTGACACTGCTGTTCTCCTCAGCCTTCAGAGCAAAAACTGAAGTGCTAGCAGTGATGTTAGCTATTGAATAATTCAATGGAGTGTGGGCACAGGCAGTAACTTTCACATGTATTTAAACTTTTAGCCATGGAACTTATTTGCTTTCTCTATTTCATCACGAGCCATCGCAAATATAGCGTTGCGCATGTGAGCGGAACGGAAGGAACATATAAAAACCCAGCTGTGAATACAAGAAAGAGAAAGTGCTGTTCTCTCCCAGCGTGTAACCAACACACTGCTGTTGTCTTTACAGCGCCGCTGTTCTACACAGACGAGCAGTGTAATAGAATTTCAAACAAGACTCTTCAGTATTACAGCACAAAACAAACACACTATCTGCTGCTGTTCAGAAATCAATAGCTGAATCCCTGCCATCCTCAACCACCTTCAGCTCAACATCAGTGTGTGTGTGTGTGTGTGTGTGTGTGTGTGTGCGGTGTGTGTGTCCCCTCCAGATGAGAGAGCTGTCAGGACACCCATCCTTGCGTCTAATCAGCTATGACTAATGTCTCTGTGTCCGCCCCTGCCCATGTCTGAATTACTGGTTGAATAACCTGATTGAGCTCTCGTTGGCTCTCCACTAAGAGCCACATCGGCCTAATAAAGCTGAGAGCCCTTCTGACTCCCTCAAAACCAACCTGGCAACCGGCCTGCATCACGTGGCCGCATAGTCCCCGCAAAAAAAAAAAAAAAAAGGAAACACGAACCTGGCAAGTGGCCCTGGCCCTGTTCTCATATGGAAAGAGCCAAGTCATCACCATCTAGCAGAATACCTGAGTCAGGGAAATGTGTCAAACATCGTGAATTTATTTAATTTCCTCTCTTTTCTCTTAGTCTCCTCATCTCAGTCAATGATGCATTAATCTCACTGAAGTTTTGGCTGCTTTTAAAGAAAAGTGCACCCTAACAGTCTGTTAGTTCGCCATTCCAACAATCACTGGATTCATCGGCAGATAGATAGATAGATAGATATATAGATAGATAGATAGATAGATAGATAGATAGATTTACAGAAATATTTGAATATCACTTCTTCCTAAGTAACTTTTACAACACAGAAAACCATCCATCAAAATACCACGCCCTGCTGAGGAGTCTCTCAGATATCAGCAGTAATTGGCTGGTGGAGATGTTGAGCCTTAAATGAATTTTCTTTTGCTTGACTTCACTTTGGAGATTGTCTGGCTGACTCAGTGTCTCGCCTGGCTGGCCACAGTCTCTAATGAATCTGATTCCTCATTTGACACAAAAGAGAAATTACCGCCTGCCGGGATGAGTCCGTCTCTCATCAATCACACTTCAGCTATCCCTGTCCATCTGAATTGTCCAGAGATTTTTAAATAAGACCTGTAATGCTCCCATTGAGGTTTCACTGAGCTGCCTGCACGACTGCTTCAATAATTTTCTGATAGATCCTTGGTTTGATTTGATGATGTGAAATTATCAATCTCCAAGCTATAATTGACCGGCCCAGTGTCTTCGGTGTGCACAGAGGACACAGCGTGGAGTCATGTACAGGAAAAGAACACTCTGCTTCCCAATAATTGAGTAAAACTTCCCCCATGTGCCCCTGAATTGGTTTAGTGAACTAACCAGAGAGCCATGATGTAATAAAAGCTCTGTGGAGAGCAAAAGAGAAAATCAGACTTATTTCACAGAGATCCACAGACACTATTTAAATAAATGTTTATTGTACATAGACATAATGAGAACTGTGACTTCGGGAGAAAAACAGATCCTGTTTTGTTCCGAGCCCTTTAAGATTTTTTTTTTCCTCTGTGACATTGGAGGTCTAAATCCAGCCGTGTCTGTCTGACTCACATGCAGTAATTTAATTTTCTTCTTATCTATATGACCGTTAATCCGCTGTTTATTCAGGCACACGAAGGCTCACAACAAATTTCCCTTCACCTTGTTATAGATTAGACCACAGGGTGAATGCATGCAGCCATCTGGCAACGGGTAAACAAACATGTTGTAAACCTGTGACCAAGGTTTCTTTAACCTTTTAACCAATGATAGGTTTTATATCTATCTACGTAGTCATGGTCCAGCCTGAGATTTAAATAGAACAAGGTCAGCCCTGTCATCTCCCAGCAGAGGTTTTCGGTTTGATTCTGGGTTCGACCACAGTCTTTCAGATTCTGCATGTTCTTCCTGACAAATACAATTTCACCAGGTAATAGACAAATATGAACACAAACAGGGACGGCCCTGAGCTTCAGTTTGTTGGCTCTTCACTCATTTACTGACTGATTGGCTCGTTTTCTGGTTTGCTGACTCATTTCAGGTATTGACCACGAAGCTCCAACACGTTGATCTGTAAGAAGCGTACAGAAATAAAAGTAAAGTGTATCATCCCCTGACTGTCAAAAGTTGCCAAGGTGCAAACTGTTGGCTCTGACTCCAGGGCACAGATACATTCTGCATGACTGGCCTGTCAGCGAGCCCCGTTCACTCACAGTTTGGCCTGTCGCAGCCCCATCTATCTTCGGCCTAATGCAGCACAGTGGGAGCCTGCAGCACAATGGATCTGGCTCCAGACTGCCAGATAAATAAAAACAGCCCTGTCACTCCCACTAGCTCGTTGGCTAACCAGCCATATCGATGACATCTCTGTCTGTGTGGCCTTAAGCTCTAAAC